ATAACAACAAACTTATGTTTTTGGTTGAACGGTTCCTTCTAGATTTTCCTGATATGATTGTCGTACCTACTTATATACTATTATAGATTTTTGTTAATTGAATTCTCTATGTGTAAGTATCTGTTTGATTGTAAAGCAAATGTTTAATTTTTTCAATTATTTTATGTAAAAAGGTTCTGCTCTTTGATTATTAAATAAATAAATAAACAATAAATAAATTTTTATGTGAAATCCGTTGACATAACTTCCTGTAGCAATGAGGCACCGACGTGATTACGTAGATATTCCGTTTTACACAATTTTCATTTCAAAAAATTAAGGGGTATTTTAGACCATATTAAAAATGTTTTATAGTTCCATATTTTATCATCTTAGTTTATATTGAACTGCAGACCATCACAGAGAGAGCGAGAGAGAAACAGCTTCGCTTTTGAATGCAGGCTTAGTTACTAACGGAAATAAAGGGGCAATAGTAGAGTATCACTACATTTTCATTTTCACTACATATTCAGGGACTACTCATTTATAAAAACTACTCTTTTTGTTAACGCTCGATTTTATTACCAGTCAAATTTTTGTATTTAAATGTGCTTTAAATGAAGTCGATTTTTAAAATATAACTCATTTGTAAAAGGAACATTTTTGTAGAAATTGTAATTTTGGGATCAGTTATTAAGAAATGCTTTCAAAAATATTGAAAAAAATTTCTTGTAGAATTAAAAAATTAAATGGAATAGTTACTTCTTTAAGGTTCTAAGGTTTAAGTTCTTAAGGGCCACAGCAATTTACTTTGCAACAATTGTAGGTGTTTAGGGATTTGATATATTTCTAAGGAACCTTTTCAGGGCTATTTTGTGGACGGCAGAGGAGGAGGGCTTAGTTGGAGCCCAAGCTTATGTAAAAGCCCATAAGAACGAAACTCAAAATTTTAATTTTGTTATGGAGTCAGACGAAGGCACTTTTACCCCCCTTGGCCTCAAGTACACTGGAATTCCTGACGGAAAGTGTGTTTTGGAGGCCATTTTAAGGTACGCATATACGTATATTATATTTATATATACCTTGGCATGTTAAAGTAATGTTATTACGAATTTTCTCTTTTATTTTCGCCGGGAACCGTCTGTATGTAATTTTTGATGATTCGTCAAGTCACACTATGTAAGTAAAATTAAGTTAAATATGAAGTAACAACAACATGCAAATTTGCAATGCATATTTGTATCACTAAATGCAATGCCAATTCTATTTTATTTTAATAATGATTTAATGAAATATAAACTTGGCACATGCCCATTACTCAAAGCATTGTTTATATAACCTGTATATTTCATTCTCGCAACTGCTCCTACATCGAATATAACCTTTTTCTGCCATTACTTTTTATATTTAATAGGTTGCAACTCCTCCTTTATCTTATCTAAAATACCTGACCTACGAGATGCTTTTTGTGAAGGTTTCGATGTCTATGTCTATATTCTTATTTTCTCTAATGCTTCTGTATTCTGTATTTTTTCTCTGCTTGTCACTTTTCTCCTTATTGTTTACAGACTTTAATGAACGAACCGTTTCGTTTCTAATTGTTTCCGTTTCCTTTATGTATATAGTTACTTTTGCTTCTTCTTTCTTGAGTACTTCGTATGTGGTGGGCTCAAAAGTAGTAAGTACTTAATTTATTCTGTTTATTTTGTCATAAGACGTATCATGTATCCATCTTGTATGTCTGAAACTAGCTTTTTTCCTTTTTTCTTCTCAAATTCACCTCTTTCTCTCCCAGCTTCATCTAGCTTATAATGAATTCTGGTAACTTATCCCATATTTTTCGATATAATAATAATAATTATGAAGGACCCAATACTGAATGTAGTGTTGATCAATGCATGGCTCTTTCATTTAATATTCGAATCTATAAGGATCTATTTTGTCTTTCCACCTCTCTATCAGCTTGAGGCCATACTGAAATTGTATTTACTAGCTGTACCTATATTATTTTCGTATAGAATTTCTTGAAGTCTGAACCAAACCACGAAAAAATGGTTTTTTTTTCTATTATTTATTTAATGGTAATTTCATTAATAATGTCTATTTCATAAAATCTACCATAATAATCTTATAAATAATCAGTAGAGAATAAAGGTCTCACTATGTCAATTGTCTTGTTTCGCCTTTTCATTGGCTTCGGGGGATTTAGTTTTGAAACTAGTTGACAACCCTGACAACTTCTTACTGTTCTTTCTGTTTGCTTATCCACTCCTGGCTACCATACTTTGCTTCTTAGCCGCAACTTCATCGTTACAATTTTAAAACCTGAAATCTTAGTTGTTGAGGTATAAAATGGTCTTTACTCCGCTTAAAAGAATAAAAAAATATTGTAAATTCACTCTTTACAATTGAAGAATGTTTCAAATTTTCCGGCTACTCTCCTGAATTCAAACTGTTTTCAACTTTCTGTATTTCTGAATTATTCTTTGAACTGTACTCTATTTCTTCAAAACTTAATACCTTTATGGTTCGTCTTCTTCTGTGTGTTTTTCCTCTTGCAATTACACAGAGCCTAAAAAGCGGATCAGCAATGTTTGTTTTGCTTGCTCTACAAACGATATTTTTTTGAAATTTTATTATTACAAATGCATCACATATCATTCGGTTCTAGCACATGGGTTTGTTGTAGGATTGAATATAGTCGCTAAAGGCTAATGATCTGTTATTTATTAGCTTAAAGGTTTCCAATATATATAAATGCGAAATCGTTTTCCTCTCCAGATCAATGCTAAAGCTTCTTTTTTTAATTTTGAAATTTTCCTTGCAGACTTGGTTGATGTTTTACTCGCATTGTTCATTATCCTAGTTTGCCCTTTATTATTTGCCTGTACTAAAACAGTACCTACCTAATCGATTAGATCTAGCTTTTGTATACGTATGAGTCTCGTTATTAGTATCATAGAATCCCAAAATTCTCGTATCATTTGCTAACTACTTTAGTTAATATAAGGGTTCGGTAATCGTATAAAAATTTGGAATAAAGTTCAATATGCCCAGAAAGCTTTTTTCTATGCATACTTGTACCCAATTACTAGTATCACCCATGAAATTGATGGACTGCTTACTAAATTCACATTTTTCCAAAGTGAAACTCCTATCTTCCAAAATATTTAATATCTTTTTAAGCCTTAAATCATGTTCCTTCGAATTTTTAAAAACCAAAATATCTCCTAGGAAAGTAACTGTTCCTTCACAATCTTGCAAATCCTGTTTTAAAACTCTTTGAAACAATTCTGGAGCTATATTAGCATCAAATAACAATCTTTTATATCTATAAACTCCTTTGTCTGTAATAAAAGTATCTATAATTCTGATACAATTCAATCTGATAGAATGCATTGCTTATATCTAATTTTAAGAACCATTTATTTAAACATAATTTACATATAATTTCTTCTAATGTTAATAACGGGTGCCTTTCCCTTTGTATTGCAAAATTACCTAAGTTTATATCCACGCATATTCATAAGTAACTTCTTATATTCTTGATCTTGATAAAAATATTCACTGTCTATGATTTTAATTCGGACCATGTATTTTCATTAGTCACATTTTAACTTGTACCTGGATCAATCATTATCAATATTTTTACCTAGCCTTGTACGAGGGGTGATTTTAGGGGAGGACCGCTGTATCCATTCGCTGATTGTGTATCTAATTCATTCTAGGCAGGAATCTGTAGTTTGACTCTGAAACTGGCAGAACGTCCTAACCTTCCGAGACCTTCGTCAACTCCCTACCTTCTATTTCAGTTTAACTAAAGCAACTTTATGACCATGACTGATGACATTCCTACCATTTGCTTTTTACTTTGCCTTCAGTAACTTCTTGTACATATTACATCTTATGCCTTCGATTGTGTGGCCTACGCCACTGTAGGTTTAGCATTTAGTCACCCCTTTGCAGTTCTTCAGGTCATGGTTTGTAAGACCCCACTTGCGGCAACGCCTCTTGACCAAAGTACTGACACTTGGAGCACCTGGGAAGGAAACTTTTTCCTCCAGTTGACATGACGTCTAGCCATGATTCAGACAAGGTAGCGGGGTCGCCCTAAGTACACCCGAAGTATCATTTTCCTTTTCTTTTAGGGTCGAGAGCTTCGCCAGGATCCCAGTAACTTGTTCTTCTAATATAGACTGGTCAAAATCTTTCATAATGAAGTTATTCTTGATGGCTTTCCGTCTCACTACACTTTCACCTGGCCCGGCCCATTTGTTTATCAAGGTCCGCCCTGGCATCTAGCTTCTCTATAGTGGTGATCACTATCCTCGCCACCTTTACCACATGCGTGCCTACACTTGTTTCGATGCCGCTTCTCAGTTTCATGAGAACCTTGGCATACGACGAGTCCTCGTCGAAAGCTTCCCTATCAATTTCGATGGTAATCTTTTCTTCCCAAATCCCCATTTTTTGCTTGACAGAGAACGCTATACCACCCTTGGTATCGATTAGAATATCGATACCTCTTCCTTTGCATAAAAACTCAAGGAGTCTGCGAATTATTATACCATCCTCCATATCGAGCTCTAATATTCGTGACCCCTGGTTGTTTAGTACATCCTATACTCGCCTGAGCAACTTGTACAGACACTTCCTTCTCCCTTTGGGGAGACAGTCACGCCAACCTATTCCGTGGGAATCGCCTGATGCATTTCTCTCGGTCCACCCCTTCGGTGTTGATGATGAATAAAGAATTCTCCCACTCATCATCTCCTTGGTCCCCTTCTGTTAAATGACTAGGTTTGAAGATCACCTCCGGGCACGTCTCTTCTTCGTCCACAGATTTGAAGTTCTCTTAAGTTCTATCCTAATTGTTTAGGATTGATTGATTTTTGATCTTACCTGTTCCTCCAGTATTTCCTCTTTACCTATTTTCTTGATTACCTGTAGTTTTGTTGGGCTGCCGGGTCAATCAGCGTTCCCTGCTCTATTGACTCAGACTTGGTTGGTTTCTCACTTATGGTTTCCTCAAAAAAGTCTTTGATAGTTTAGGTTTTGGCTGATATCCCGCATTTCTCTTTTGACATTAGTCGGTCGATACAAATTACGAATGACAGAGCTATGTCCACCGTTTACTACCTTCAACGGTTACCATTAATTAGGGGGGGGGTTAATGGTTCATGCGAATAATCAAAACAAACGATTCCCGCTATAAAATGGTATATTGGATCATTAAACTAACGGACAAGTTTAAAGGCTATATAGTCATGTTTAGCTTCTGATGATTAGTTTCGATTCGTTACTCTCATGGGTCCAGTGACGCGTTCGTTATTTTGTAGTTCGTTCTGAAATGATGTGATTTTGGAAGTTTATTTTTATGGAATGATAACGATCGAAACGTTCCTGCCACGTGTAGAAAATCCGCTATACGTAAAGATGCGTCAAGAAGCCTATGGTAGGTTTACATTCTGGACAAATCCCGCTATTATAAATAGTTCCCACTAGGTTGGAAAAAACAGTTCTAGTTACGAGGCGACAGAAAGAGAAATAATGAGAGTGAAAAACCAATTCGGTGTGCGATATAGTAGTAAACAAGTGATTAATTATTAATAATAGTGCAATTAAAAAATAATTAGTTAAATAAAATTGTTTAATTACGCGACATTTGATGCACATCGCATCAACACCGGAACAAAAAAAACCATCATACAACCACCTTGGTGAAGCAACATAGGTATGCGTAAACAAGGGGTGATTGAACCATCACAAAGTGCTTGAGTTTGCCTTGTTATGCTGGTACGTAAGGAAGACGGTTCCATGAGATTTTGTGTGGACTATATGAAGCTGAACGATGTAACGCAGAAGGATAGTTACCCATTACTTCGTATTGACAACGCACTAGATAGTCTAGCTAGATCTAAGTGGTCCTCTACTCTCGATTTGAAAAGTTGATACTGGCAGGTTGAAGTACATCCGCAGGAGAAGACTGTATTTACGACTGGAGATGGTTCATGACTATTTAATGTAATGCCATTTGGATTATGGAATGCACCTGCTAAATTCAAAATATTGATGGACACTGAATTACAAGGACTACACGGAAAGTTTGGTTTACTTAGACGACACCATAATATTGAGAAGAACCTTCGAGGACCACCTCCCAAACGTCTTCAGAAAATTGGTCGTCGCAAAATTGAAGCTAAGTTCCAAGAAATGCATCATGTTTAGGAGAGAAGTGAAGAACCTGGGCCATGTTATAACATGGCAAGGAACTAATACCTACCCTTTTACTATGGAAGAGTCTGGATTGAACTAGAAACAAGCTTCAAGTGGTACTTCCGAAGAACAAAGTTTCATGTCTTAGAAGCAATCCATGGCGAAGAACATTTTGACTTTACAAAGATTTTAAGTACGCGAGCATAGAAGTAGAAGCGATGTGGAAGGCTGGTATATGAAATACCGGATACATTTCAGAGAATTACTGGTAGACTCCGGTAATCGACACATTTTGGTTGTCATGAATTACGTTAGCAAGTGGTCCAAAGCATATTCGATGCCAAATCAAGAATAACACACAGTTGCCGGAAGGTTGATCAATAACAGGATTCCAAGCCAATATGGAGTACCATCGAAATCGAATTCCGGTCAAAACAAGAACATCGAGCTGGAGTTATAAAAGATTAATAGGTATTACAAAACTGAAGACTATGCCCTTACATCCACAATCTGATGGGATAGTTGAACCTTTCAATGCTACTCTGGGAACCAACTTAAGAAGATTAGGTCAATTAGTCCTAATCTGACTGGGATTGATACGTACCGCATTCCCCTTAAGCGTATAGATCGTTTATCCATGAGATAACTGCAAGAACATCGGCCAGCATTTTATTTGAGGAAGAAGAACTCGGACATGATGTTTCGTCGTCCTGGAGTTCCTCTAGTGTCCACAGACGAATACGTGCGCAATTTACAAGAACGACTAGAATTCATGAAAACCAGATATATAAGGGCTACAATGTATGACTATAAAATCCATCAGCAAAAAAGGGACGTTGCCCGAAACTATAATAAGTTTAGGATGTGACACACTTAGCCCTTCATACCATCTGCTCTCCTACTGTTCTAATACCTCTTCATTCCTAACATGGTAAATAATACAAATTAATTATTAAAAACTAGCAATGTACTTATAATAAGTACCAAAAAAACAGGAAATTTGGTACATGTGACATCCTTCTGCGGCGATCCTGACTATCTAAAAAGGAAGAGAGCATTTTTGAAGTCTCCAACGTTTGAGCCACCAGGCACCGTGGTCTCGTCTGCCCCTCAAGCTACGCCACTGGCAATTAGTCATTTTCACTATAACATTTCTTTTGCTTATATTAGAGAGTACTAAAAAATATTTTTTTTTCGTTTTTCCTTGAAAATGAGTAGTTACATACATTTTCCTTTTCATATTGAGTATCCGGAATTTACTTAACAATTAACTTTCAAAAAATGCTGGTTAATCCTAATTAATCACTAGTTAAGTAATTAATCACAAACAAAATCATGTGTGTCAAAAAAAAACATAAATCTTACTTTTTATATCTGCTGTTGTGGCCAACTCGGAGACAATTGTATTAATTTTCCCCTTTGCTTTATTTTCAGTTTGCTGAAAGATATTAACACGACAACAGTCGAAGAACCTGCTGATGGTGGCCCAGACATTACGTTTTGGCTTTCAGAGGGAATTCCTGGAGCCAGTTTGTTGAATCGTGCAGAATCTTATTTTTGGTATCACCATAGTGCTGCTGACACTATGGATGTGGAAGATCCTGAAGCTTTGAATCTTGCAACTGCTCTTTGGGCTTCGGTGGCCTACGTGGTGGCGGATATCACTGCTGATATGCCGAGGAAACCCGGTCAGTTCCTTTAGTGATGTTGAATCATTTGTCTTATCTTTTTTAATGTAAATGTAATCACTGTTTTAATAAGTAGTTTTTGTTATTCTTGGTAGTAATCTTATTGGTCAGTCATTTGACTTTCATTTAAGTACGTTTTTTTATACTTCTGTTAATAAATTTCTGCTTGTGTGCAGTTTGTAAAAGTAGCGAAGATTTTTGTTTGATATATCTGAAAAACATAGTTGAATCTTTTCTACTCAAATTCCTAAAATGTGGACATTGGTGGACTAAGCTCGTCGAATGGGACCCTTTGTCTGTTTAGAAATTGATGTACTTATTTCTAGTGTAAAAAAAGTTATAAAGCGTTTTTTGCGGTTAGTTCCACTGTAAAAACAATTGTTTAAATGTAGATTTATTGTGAATTATTCATAAACAATAAACGATATAATTATGTATAAGAAAAAGTCCATGGTGGGGTTAGTATTCTATCGAAACCGTCGGATGCGGATCGCGATTTTGACAGAATACTGACTACCATGAAGTTTCCGTTATGTTTGGTCACATAGGGTCACCTAGACCGAGGATTCAGTTCGACAAGTCCATATCCCTATGGACCTTGTCATACATTTTTGAATTCCACTAAAGGTAGCAATATACTGCAGATGGTGTTTACCATGGTTTATGTAGTGATTTAGATATATACAGAGTGTAACAGCAATTAGTGCCGAATTGAAGCTACCCTGATCTGGGAATGGTCGTCGTCAGTTGGAGTTGGTTCATAACGTTTCGCTAGCATAAGCTTCATCAGAGGTCCTTCCATCTCCGATGCTGGATGTGAACTGGTGACTTGTCCTGTGCAAGTTGTATTTATGCCGATGGGATGTCGGTCCGTACCGTTCGGGTATTTATGAGGATTCTCCTTCTTCTTGTGACAGTCAAAGTTAGTAATTTGAAGTCCTAAAAGAGTATTTTGTGGCCGCCGTTGGCCAGTGCGTGTTGAATCATAGCAGATTGTTCAAAGTGTGCTAGCTGGAAGCTTATGTTGTGTTCCTTGAGTCTCGTTCCCATCAATCTCTTAGTGGTTCCTATGTAGACCTTCTGTCCTTAGCTGAACTGATGATCTGTTGGATCTTCTTCGTAGGTTCGAAGATGGTTCTGACGTCGTGTCTTTTTAAGACTCTGCCAGTTCTGTCCGCGACCTTTGGTGGTAAACACGCTAAAGAGGTGGTGTGTCGTTCGTTAATTTCTGGTGCCTTTAATATGTTCAAGCCTATTGATCATTCGATCTCTCCGTTTTTGTAGTAGAAGCATAAAAGTCTCGAAAAGTCATAGAGCCAAGGACAACAACGGTATTACCACCCGTCGGGCCATTAACTCCTTAGACTCGATTAGAGTATACCCCAACTTTGTGGACGATTTTCGTTGCCTATCGTCGTACCTCGACGAATCCAAAGTTGGGTTTTCAACCAATTAACTTCAACAAGACCTTCATATCACCTTCCGTGAAGCCTGCGATGGTATACAGTCTGAATTTGTTAAAAAAGGCTTCGCGATCCGGGGTTTTCACCGAATGTCAAAAGGAGGAAAAATCCGGCCGCTAGTATTCGTTCGTCTCGACAAGTCTTTCCCTAGGTCCAAGCCATCTTCGAACTTGGCAAGCTCTGCGGTCAAAGTTGAACAGAAAAGAGCCACCGAAGGAGTTGCCCAATGTCGCCGTTGTATGAAATCCTTTCACACGACTAATTACTGCCACGCCGCTTGGGTCTGCTCCTTCTGCAGCCGCGACCATGTCAGCGCCGAATGCAAGACAATAGACCGGAATGACGCAACCCCCTTATATGTTAACTGCAGAGGGAACCACTGCGCCACCTATAGTGGTTGTCCCAAGGTACCCGAGAAAATCGTACCACCCAAAAAACCCTCCTCTATTTCTGTCGCTCACGTCAAAGTAATAAGCCGTACTTTAGCCACCCCCGTAACGACGCTCCTCTAAAAGTCTTACGCCAGTCCAACGCAACTCCAAGCATCTCTTTAGTGTAAGTTGTTCCCCAACTCTGGAACAGAAACTCCACGTCATCGTGCAAACGATGGTAGCCATATAGTTGCCGTCATCCAAACACCCACCCATGGGTAATACAACCCACATCCAGTAGTTACCTGAAATGCTCAAAGCATTAAAGGTAAATTGACTGAACTCGAACACTTCCTCAAGAAACGGTCAATCGATGTTGCCTGCATCTCCGAAATTGATTTATCCCAGAAAGTCAAACTTTTTGCACCAACTTCACATGTGAAAGACTGTGAAAAAGGCGGAGGCGTAGCCATCCTTTTCAAGAACTCTTTAAAACACAGGCTCATCTCTTTGGCCACTAATTCATTAGAAGCAATTGGAATTAAAGTCTTGCTAACTTCTGCCTCCTTCAGAATCGTTTCCCTTTTCTCCCCCATCTGAACTAAATCTTTCGGATTTCCCCTTCCTTCTCCCCTCAAACGTCTCGATGATCGTCGCAGGGGACCTCTTGGGGCTGCCGACACACTAACAAAAAAGGTATTTCTCTTCTTGCCAAAGTCCTCAACGTCAACCTTGTCGTTGAAGCGCTCCCAGATCCTTTGTACCTCCCGCCCCCCACAATCAACTTCCTAACATTCTCCACATATTCGTCTTAGAAAAAAATGTCACTCTGTCGATCGCACCGTTCTCGACGCTCTAAGTTCAGATTATATTCCACCCCTAATAGAAGTCGGCCGCCCAATTCTCAACCCCCCCAAACCTTACAACTTCATTAGACTGGCTACGTCTCTGCTACACTCTGCGGAACTCGACAAAGCCGTCAATCTCCTTTCAAACGAGATTACTAGTGCCATCGAGCTCTCTACGACCTCCAGCCCCTCCTCCTCCCCGCAGACAATCTTGCAAAAAAAAACAAAACCCTCCGTCTGTGGCAAAAACACCGTGCTCTCGCACACCGCGCCGAGCTAAACGCCCTCTAGCGAAAACTTAAAATTCGCCTAACCAAATTTCGCAGTATCACCTTCGACGATTGTATTGCTGAGACCGAAACACATCCCTAAAGCACTTGGAAATTGATCCACTGTCTTCGAAATAGAACCCCACACTTTCTGCCGCTAAACAAAAGGGGTCGGTATTTACTTCTGACGAGGAAAAGTTGCAATCTTCGCAGACTCTCTTTGTCTCCAGTGCTCTCCACATCCCAGCCCTGTTGACACTGCTGACTTTCACGAGCGAACCAACGCCACGTCCAAAATTTCGTTATTTTCGACTTTAAACACGTGTCACCCTGTGAAATCTTCCTGACCATCCGATCTCTAAAAAAGATAAAATCTTCTGGCGCGGACGAAATTTCTAGCGGTGTTTAAAAAGCTCTGTCATCAAAATACAACCGCACTGTGCAACATCACAGACGCTTTCATGCGGTTCCACCACTTCCATCCGATATGAAAATAAGCCACCGTCATCTGTCTCCTCAAAAGAGGGAAGCCCCTCAGCTCTCCCTCAAGCTACAGACGCATTAGTTCGCTGAGCTGAGTAGTTGAATCCATCCTTTTGGACCGGCTTCTCGACCACGTGGTGCGAAACAACCTTCTCCCCGACTTTCAACATGGTTTCCACAGATAGCACGGCCGTGAACATCTCCGTGTTTGCGAATACATTTCTGACAACCTAAACAAGCGCTATCACACTTCCATGCTTCTCCTCGCCATTTAGCAAGCCTTCGATACGAAGGTCTCCGTGGCAAGCTTATCACCCTCCATACCTCACATTTCCTAATCGGGGTTATTCGATTCTTTCTCTCTGACAGAATCCTCCGAGTCCGCGTTGGCTTTGCTTTAGCCCAAAGCAAACCCGTCACGGCTGGTATCCCCCAAGGCTCCAAGCTGTCACCTCTTCTGTTCAATCTTTTCTGCGCAGACATGCCGTCTCATTCCTCGATCGTCACAGCTCTCTACGCTGATGATTCATCCTCATAAGCCCCGCCTAAACCATTCTCCAGTGCTCCGCTTCTTAATTGGTACCGAATATGGAAACTCCATTAACGAGGCCAAGTCGGAAGTAATTTTCTTCTGGAAATCCGAAAACCTCCCGTTAATACCGTTAATTACCACCGCATCAAATGGAGCAACTCCGTTACGTACCTCGGCGTCGTGCTCCACGAAACACTGACATGGCGAGAACACATCTTTGCCACCCGTACCAAGGACCTTGCCGTCTTCATGTCCCTCAAACCCTTCTTCTAAAACAGCTCGCCGATTCCCACCTCCTACAAATTCTTCAAGGAACTTGCATACTTTGTTCTTCGTTCTGCGCTCAACTACCCCTGGTTTATCAGAAACACCCAAATTCTAAAAGAAACTGGTGTATATTCACTCCCTGAAGCTGCAGTTAGGTTCGTGGCTAATCTTCGGGCCTCAGTGTCAGGTCACCTAAACCCGTCCATCTCGACATTTTCCGACTTCGGCCCTAAACTAAATGACCGTTTGAAAAGGCTCTGCCACCTTCTCTTTTGAGCTGCTTTCTTTCTGCTCATTCCTTGTTTCGCTTTTTTAGCGCGAGTGCCCACCCAACTCATCCGAGGTGGGCCACCAATCCCTATTCACCTTACATTACCCTGGGATGTATAACCTCCGGCTTGATCTCCGTACTCGAAGAAGAGCTTTAGTCGGTAGGCGCTTCGGTGTATCCGATACTACCCCAATTCAGGGGGTGTCTTTCTCCTCCTCGAGGAAAAACTAAACAAAAAAAGAGATCAGTCGCCAGTCCATATCGAGCATCGGTGATGAAAGAACCTGTGAAGAAGCTTGTCACTCGTGCTAGAGAAACGCTAGGAAGCAACAGACCCGAATTAGCCTCGAGAAGCTTTACCAATTTATAAGTCCTGAGATTGCAGGAGGTGATAGGGCTTTATAAAACAAGAAAATTAAGTATATGTTTGTAAGTTCGGCGAGAAAATTATAGTTGAAAGTGCAGGTAAATCCCTGGTAAAGAAACGACTCGTAACGCTGCCCTCAATCAACTGGTAATTACCAGCATCATTGTGGTATTTGTTTTATATTTTTTTGCTCATGTATTGTTTATTTGTTAGATTGAATTAAGTGTGATTCAGAGTGTTTATGTTAATAGTCAACCTCTAGTAGCCGTTTATTGTTTTTAGCGTTCAAGTCTTGTGTGGGGCAATCGATGTGCAGTTCAAT